GCAAAACTCATAATAGACAATATTGGATTTTGCTTGTATGCCTTGTTAGAATCCTTTAGATTTGTCCAAACCTATTGAGATCCACGCTCTCGATGGAATCGGTTTTGTGAGGTCAACTTCTACAAATAGCTTTGCATGCATGGGATATGATCCATTCTTTGTGTGATTATCCGAAGAAAGAAAATCACCAATTGGACTAATAATTTCCTTGAAAAAAGTTGATGGAAAGAAAGGTAGAGGAAGTCCAGAAGCTTAAGCCATATAGCGAGGCCTTGTGGTTTCATGTTTTATGGAAAAGTTATATGTCCATCTTAATAGTCTAAGCATATCATTGTCTATGTGGTGTTGTTCATGAGATCATGCTTTGATAAGATCTTCCTTGTTAAATAACCCGATTAAAACATGAGAGAGGTCCAATAATCCTATCACATATGCCTTCCTTAAACCTTATTGCTGATGAATATATGTTCTAAAGTGTTAATTGGGTGTCCGAATTTTGATAATTTTACAACCAAAGAGAACTCAAATATTTTTTTATGATAACTAGAGATCAGTTTCAAAAAAGGCTACTACTAGTTCACTTTGTATGTGAGAACTCAAATATTTTTTTTATGATAATTAGAGATCAGTTTCAAAAAGGGTACTATTGGTTCACCTTCATATGTGGATGGGGGTTCTAATGTGTTTTTTAGTGAAAGGAAATCATGGTTACCTTCGTTTGAGAGGTGGTAAGCGTAACAAAGATAGGTTTAAGGGTTCGATTTATGACAAAATGGGTTCGATTTGTTTCGGTTTGAGACTTTCTCGGTGCTTGCTAGATTGGGTTAGGGTGCATGACCTAAGAGGTTATGCAACGCTGATTTTGGGAAGGGTGGGAGGCGGTACATTACGGTTTGAGTCTAAAGATTTACGACTAAGATTGGGTAAGGGATTGTAGATGCGAGGTAGTTAGTTTATGGTGATGGGAAGGATAAGACGTAGTCTCTTGTCTCCCTCATAGGGAAACATATAATCCAAGATTTGTGCGAGGTGGCTTTGCTTCCATGGTCTGTCGGAGAGAGGGTAGTGTTTTTATTCTAAAATCATCATATTCAAAAGATCGGATGATGACCTCTTATAGCACGGATCACATCTCTTGCATGAGAGATGCCTGAATCATGAGCATATATCAATATACTCGTACCTCTATCGGTATCTATATGAACATCTTGATCTCTAGAATAATTTTAGGATGGAGAATTACCTTTAGTCAAAGTGCTAGCTATAAGTTATGATGTTTAAATGCTGAATTACTTTTCCTCTCATGGCGATGAGAGTTCCTAACAAGGTTGCTAGGATTTTTGTCTCACTCAATGTCCTTATATAAATAAAAATTATGTGCTTGGTTATATTTTATAGCAACCAAAAGGGGTGTAAGTCATAGTTTCACTAGGAAACTAATTTCCTAACCTTAAGGAGAGACAAAAATATGGGCTGATTATTTTGAAAAATTAACATCCAACAACCTTGGACTTGGACTTTATTAAGCCTATTTTGTATGCCTTAATTGAACTAACCCATTGATGTAATTAAATACCATTATCCAAAATGTATCTTAGTCTCATTAGAAATCTTAACCGAATTAGGAATCCTAATCTAATTAGGACTATTGGTCATGATGCAATTTTGAATCGCTCTTTTTGGATGACCCTCTAAGTTCTTATCACATTAGTAGTGATCATAAAATCATAATTTAGAATAAAAAATAGTGAGCGACATCTAGCAATGCATCATTAGTACCCAAGTAATAAGAATGTCGATGATTCGAGTATAACTTTATCATGAAATATGTTACCATATAGTCTCATCCCTTTATCTTAGACATGAGGCATGGAATGTGTTATTCTTATATAGTTTAATCTAGTATTTCTTGATGTATGAGTTAACTATTCCAAACAAATGAGATCTATATCTCATATCGATTCATTTAAGCATGGCCATGCATCTCGCAATGTCACTCAATCAAGGGGCCCATAGATATCACTCCTGTTAAATAGGAGGGAAAAATTCCATCTATATCATTTATATTCCTCTCGCATGATTCATGATATATCCAACCACCAACTTTATAGTCCATCATGTTACAAATAATATTTGATTGTATCAAAATATATGACTCTTCATGTAGGGAACCGTAGTGACTTCAAGTCAAAGGATCATATAAACTATAATCATAATGAGATCAACTTATAACACTTATATAACGATCCACATAGTGATCTCATGACAAGTCAATCCAATACATGTTCTCTAACATGTACCCATGTGTTGACTCGATATCTTATATCCATAACACATTGTTATCAATCAATAAGCATACCAATCTCAATGCTTTATTGTTACCCCTTTAATATATCCACGAGTAAAAAGAAACTTAACTATGGACATTTAAGAATAATAATATTCTTGGGACTTTATCATATTCATTTAATAAAATACAGAAATAAATAAACATAATAAAAGAAATGCTTTATATATAATAACATGATAAGTGTATAATAGTACAATCAAACTATGATTCACTTCTAGGGCATACACTAAAAAATGCATCATCTCAAGATATCAATATGTCGAAGATATGTTTGGATGTTGTCGGAGAGAAGAAGAAGCAAAAAGTGTACAACATCAAAACTTATACATCTTAGTATTACTCAAATTCGGTGTCGGCTCCTCCTCTGTCACTTCGCGGTATCCTAGTGATAATATCTAGGATGTTTTTATCTAATATGAATATAGGATCAAAGGAATAAAGGCTACCATCCAGCGACGAGATCAATCAAGTTAGAAGCATATAGACTCGGATGCAAAGAGTTATAGAGTTGATAAGAACCTTAGCTCACCTATTGTCTCTCTTGCTGGCCCTTCTACAACCCGAGTAATCGACCATTCCTCTAAACACTCGGCGAGTTAGAAAATGATGTAGAAGATGGTGATAATGAGGACTAAATTTCTTCTTGTTTTAAAAAAAGTTAAAATTTTTGTATATCTTAATACATTTATATATTTATTTTATTTTAATTTATAAAATTTTAATTTTATTAAATATTATATCATGTTTTAATAAGGTAATGTTTATATTTCTTGAGTATTACAATTACCAATAAATAAGTGTTAGTTTTTTTAAAAAATAGATTTATGATGGATTTAGGGAGGAAATATCATAAATATTTTCTCTAATTTATCGCTAATTAAATATAGCGACAAATTTTTAACAAATAGCGAAAAAAAACCCATCACTATTTAACAAAATTCTGGTAGTGAAAGGGCACTAGATTTAGAGATTTTTGGGTCGGGAGTTGTTTATGCCTTTGGAAAAATAGCAATCACCCAAAAGTTCTCTTTTCAAGAAAATTTACTAAATTTAGTCTAACCCTATAAATATCTCCTAAAAATTTTATTTTGTCAAATTATTTCCTAAGTTTATTTTCCATGTCTATTTATCATATAGATCAATTTAATTTTTATTTTTTTATTTGTGGCATCATTTATTAAATTGATGTTAGACCCTTAGATTGAGAGTCACGTCAATTTAGAATCGAATTCAATTATGCTCGACATGATCGACATGTCGAGAAACAAACTAATTAGATAAATGTGTTTTATTTGGACATGGAAGAAAAAACATTTCAAAATTAATTTTTTTATTTTTTATGATGACATTATATTAAATTGATGACATCACTCCTAAGATTGGGAGTCGTGTTAATTTTGCATTGGATCCAATTACGTCATAACATGCTTAACATGTCGAGGAATGACCTAATTTGCTAAATATAATTAAACTAATTTTGTATTTTTCGTAGCTAATTATCTTCCTTTTAATTCAGATTTTATTTATTTATTTTTAATTGTTGATCGAGACCAACATTAGTCCTTATTCAAATAGCGGACATTGTTAGGTTAACTTAATTTTTTTCAATTATCTTAAGATGTGTTATTTTCTAATTGCAAGATGAATTTGATGAGGGATCATCATCAATCCATAGAATTTAGGAGATTTGATGATCTCCCATCTACTAAATAGATAATAAACATATTATATCATAATTATATATAATAATAGCATAATTATAAATAAATATAAAAAATAAACTTTAAAAATTATGAAAATTAAAATAAAAATTGAGAACCAATATAGGTAAAAATCATAAATTTTAGATTAAAATAAAAAATATATTGAACTTAAAATTTAAATTTTGAAACAAAACACATTAGTAATTACAATGACAATTTGAATGGTAAATAAATTAGAAATAAATAGCAACTAGATTCATAAAATTATGAAAATTGAAATACAAGACATGAACAAACATATGTACAAACCCTAAGAGTTTCAGATTAAATTATTAAAAGGTGCTTGGAATTAAAAAAAAATTTACTAGAATAAAGTACATTAATAATTAAGATAAATTGGAGAACAATAATAAATATTAAATGAACGCATAAAATCATGAAACTTAAAAAACATGAACTTTTGAATTTTTAGATGAAAGTAGCATTATTGTTAAATCTCTTTAGATTCATTTAAGACCACAAATAATCAAAACACTTGATTTCAATCTTTTCTTTCTCTCTTTAAGTTTTAGTAACCAAAACCCAAAAATCACAAGTGATTAAATCATTCTCTTCTTTCTAGAAAAATCAAGTGAAATATATATATATATATATATCTCCCCCTACAAATCAAAGAATCACAAATTATTGAATTATTCTACACTTCACTATACATTTAATTTTATTTATCTTTTTGTCGATATTTGATTTTATAGTGGTGGGATTTCATGGTGCTACGGCTAAGGATAACAAATTAGTTTTAGGTGGTAGAGTTTTGATGGTAGTTGGTAGTGGTGAAGATGTGTTTTGACAATGATGACTATTTGATAAGTTGTTCGAAGGGAATGGGTTTGAACGGTGATATTGATGGTGGTGAAGGGGTGTGAAAACCTACTTTTGTCTTAGAGGAGACAGAGGAGAAGATAAACGATGGAATTGTCGAGTTATTGGACTCCTCTGCAAATCAAACATTGATAATGAACTACAAGTTTAATGATTTTGAAACTTTTTTATTTGATTGATTAGGTGGTACATGAGTCTAGCTTTTGAAATTTAGGATTTTAGAATTGTTGTTTTGTCATGTATAACATAGTTTGAGTGTTTTTTGTACTTAAATTTTTTTTTCCTATTTTGCTTTATTTTCTATTGATTTTTTAAATTTTTTTCCAATTTATTTGTCATGTAAAATTTTTATCTAACATGACATTATACGTGTCAATTTTTTTTCATCCATCTTATTTGCTTGGAAAATTGGCTAGAAAACCATTAGTGGGGCCACGTTAAAAAAATTAAAATTAAAGAGACATGATGAATAAATAAAAATTAAATAAAGGAGCCATATTAAAAAAAATATCAAGAATTTAAGGATGAATCATGGGATTAATCCGAGTGAAATTTTTATGACTTTCTTGTAAGTGTTTTTTCAATCCGAAAAGCTTAATGGATCTTAAGTTTAATTATATGCCTATAACGCAGCTGCTAGTTTCTTTTTCCAAAGCCTATATATATATATATATATATATATATATATATATATATATATATATATATATATATATATATATATATCATTTTCTTTCGGGATTAATTATTTAAACTTTTATAGAAATAGAAATCTCAAATTAAATTTTAATCAATAGAGCATTCTCTTAGAAACTTTTAGAATTTTTTAATCGGTGCTAGCTACATACATGAATGATAACTTTCTACTTAGGTATAAAAGAGACAACTAAGGTGAAGAAACTACTCTCTAAGTTTAAAATTAAACCAAACAAGTGTTGAGAAAATTAGTAATCTAAATGGTCTATTGATAGGGTGTATAGATAAAGAATAGGTTAGTTTAGATCACCCAAATCTCTCATTGATTCTCTCTATTGGTCATCATATGAGAACATATTTAATGTTTGGAGATAGTTCTTCTCTAAAATGTTTTTAAGTTTATTGATGAGGTTAATATTTTTGTTAGGCTAGGTTAAAGGCTTTCTAGTCTTTAAAGCCAATCCTTTCTTAATGTTTGCACAAAAACTTTAATAGATCTAATGTATGTGACTCCCCCCCCCCCCACATGTTCTATCTCAAATAGAAATCCCAAATTAAAACTATATATATCATTTTTTTCAAGATTAATTAATTTAAACTTGTATAGAAATAGAAATCCCAAATTAAATTTTAATCGATAAAGCATTCTCTTAGAAACTTCTAGAATTTTTTAATCTGTGCTAGCTATATACATGAATGATAACTTTCTACTTAGGTATAGAAGAGACAATTAAGGTGAAGAAACTACTCTCTAATTTTAAAATTAAATAAAACGAGTGTTGAGAAAATTAGTAATCTAAATGGTCTATTTATAGGGTGTATAATGAAAGGATAGGTTAGTTTAGATCACCTAAATCTCTCAATGATTAACTCTATTTTTCATCATATGAGAACATATTTAATGTTTAGAGATAGTTCTTCTTGAAAATATTCTTAAGTTTATTGACGAGGTGAATATTTTTGTTAGGTTAGGTTAAAGGCTTTCTAGTCTTTAAAGCCAATCCTTTCTTAATGTTTGCACAAAAAATTTAATAGATCCAATGTATGTGACCCCCTCCCCCATGTTCTATCTCAAAACGAGCAACATAATTTATGATTTCCTTACATAAATTCTTTGGGAATTGAAATAGGTCATTTTATAGGCCGAGTATAGCATATGCTATTGACTTTATGCTTGTTTGTTATTAATTCTTGTTCTTGATTTTATTTGTTTTGATCTAAAAGTATTGTTAGTTAAATTAAGTATTTTTACTTTGAAATCTAAATACATAACTCTTTGAAATGAAACTATTTTTTTTTAAAAAAAGCAATATACTCCTTACATTTAGCCAAAACCAAAACAATTTATTATGAGTCAACTTGTTTTCTTAAGTAAAAGTACAATTTTGTAAAAATACAACATCTAATTACCAAATACATACAATGTTAATTTTATCTCACATCACAATGCAATTTAGCACAACAAGTCAAAACATAGCACAATATAACAATACTAAATAAATCCTTTATCAATGCCTCCTTACCTATTACAAATAAAAGTCTCTTTCCATTCCGTTAACGAGAGAAAAATGATGAATATAACAAACTTTGAAGACACAAATCACTCACTTTAACAAAAGAGATAAATGTTGAGTGCAATTATTGTTAGGAAATCAATTAAGTAAAATAATAGAGTAGGAAAAACAAGAAAAATCACACAAAACAAAGATTTTACGTGGTATGGCAATAATATCTATTTCACGGTTGTACTAGGATTTCTTATTAGGTTTTGCCAATTGACAACTATAAATATAAGTGATGTTGCCTCTATTTATAACAAAGACAACTATAGTTACAAGAAAAGGTCTAACCGACTTATAAACCTATTCCGATATTCTATACACCTTTTGGAAGCTCCTTCGAAAAGCCTTTTACAAATACAAGTGAGATCATCTTACCGGCTCTGCATGCCGCCTTATACTACGAGTCTCCATCCACATCATTCTCCATAATTTAAACAATTACAATCGAGTTATTATATGTATTGGTGAAATTTTGTTTGTGTGTGTGTGTATTTTTTTTTTTTTGGTTTTTTTAAATATTTCTATCTCATATTGAAAGTAAGACTAATTATGTTCGAGATAGAAATGATAAGATTTAATCTCTTTTAACAAATACAACTCTAAAATTCAAACCATACATATTGACGAGAAAATATGAATTAGTTTTGTGTTTTTAAATTCGTTAATGGGAGCATTGATTGTTAATTTATTACTCACTTTCTTTCTCTTTGCCTACTTAGATAAAGAGTCTATTTCCATCTTGTTAACTTAGAAAAATGCTGACTATAATGAATAACAAGAACACAGGCCACACACGTTAACAAAAAAGATAAAGAGGTGAGTGTAATTACAATTAGTTTCATGTCCTTAAATTCGATGTATGGTTCCGTGAAGTTTTGTCTTTAAATTCGTTAGGTGTAGCATCGCTCATTAACTTCGTGGCCATTTACTTATCTTGTACCCCCACATGATCAATATTCAGTATCCCAGCCAATTTATTTCTCAATTGGTACAATTTATTATGCATATTTACGTGCATGTATAGTACTGTCTTATAATCCTTAAAAAGCCATTATTAATTTAATTCGGTATTGTCGCTATATTCCAACATGTCGTGGTTGATATATTCTATTTGATAACAGAGTTAGCAAATAAGTAAATTATTTTGATTCACTGAGCTCAAAACTAATCCACACTTTACCCTATTATTAGTGTTTATCTGAATTTTTCTTTTTCATAATCGAAATTAATTAATAAAAATAAATAATGCATTCCAGAAGAAGGCGTACGTAGAATACATAGTGAGCGAGCCCCCTATAACAAGCTGGATTGACTGATGACAATTAAAAAATTCATTGCACGCAACTCATGAAATTTTTTATTGCATTATTATGGGAATTATTTCATACTTGATATAGCCTGTTCATATATATGATCGCCATGGTTTATGAATTTTTTTATAACAATTTGGTGCAGTAATTAGTAAAGAAAAAAGAAAAAAGAAAGAGTACAAATATAAATGATGACCCTTAATTGATATTTTTGTTCGTAGGTTATTCCTTCAAATACGAAAAAAAGAGAGGAAAAAAGATAAAATAATGTTTTTAATTTTTAAATAATTATGCAGTCTTTGACTCTCAACACATCCTAAAACTTAAACTTAGGAGGCATGCCAATGACAAGATATTTGAGATTTGTAGGTTTAATTTGCCTTTATACCTTGTTTAATGTAGATTATATAAGGAGTTGAATGCCTTTTAGGGAATCCAATGGTTGGGAGGTGACCTAGCTAAGTTCCTCTCTCTCCCTGTCTGAGACAAACTGGACTACACCAGTTGCTTCAATTATGTACATACAATGGCAAATAATTGGAACGTTGGTTGTATTGGTTGTGTTTTTCTTTCTTCATGTATAAAGAAAATAGGGAAGAGAGGGAGAAAATTCGGCTGGCCAAGCACGACGACTTCTGCTACTGCTGTAGCCCCACTAAAATTAAAGTCAAGCTCTCGTATAAATAAAACATTATCTCACTCTCTCTCTCTGTTTTTCATTTTTTAATTTTGTCAACAAGTGTTTCGCTTCCATGTGCTACCGGTCCTAGTACATGCTAACCATGTTTAACAACTAGAGAAACCAATTCAATGCCCAAAGAAAAAAAAAGAAAAAAAAAACACTATAGAAAGCGAGAAACCAATTGATCAGAGAAAGTCACAAATCAGAAACCAATTCAATACTAATTTTGAATGGTACTTTAAATGAAGGCTACAATAGTTTTTTTTTTTTTTTTTTTTTTCAAAATCAACAAAACGGCTTTTGCATTCGTTCTCAATGTTTTTTTTTTTTTTAACTGTTTAAACCATTTAATTTGTTAATTAATTTCAATTGTCCAACAAACAATTTTTTACACTATATAAATGGGCTCTTGCCATTTGATGAAAACACAACTACAACAATATCAATTTCTTACCTTGTGAATAGTGGAAAAATAGCAATCATTTTTCTTTACATTGCTTAGAGAGAAAAACTTTCCTTTGAATTTTATTACTTTTATTTCCTAGTAAAAGTCACATTATTTTTTTTTTAATTTTTCTTTGGGTAAGAGTGGTGCTTGTTTATAATTGAGTTTCAAGTCTTACAAGTAGTGCAAACTTGTTAAGACACTACAAAATGATTGAGCTTCTTGTATCCCTAGGACAACGTGCAATATATCCTTGATTTATTGCATTAGATAAAGTTCTAAGGACAACACGTATCATCTTAAGAAAGCAACCTTGATTGTGCCTCGACACGATCACTTATAAAATTACGGTAAAGTCTGCTTTGGTGTTTTTTCATTCAAAATCTTCGAGTAATATTTTTTTAATTTTTCTAACAATTTAAGACGATACCTACTAATGAAAAACACTAATATGTACGAGCGAGTTCCACCGGAGTAGGTGATCTTAACAAACCCTTTCGCTTTCTTGGTGTAAATTTTAAAAGATAGAGGTAAAAGACTTTATTTTATCTTACTCTATTGAATGTGACTTATGTCTTAATTGAAAAAAGTCCTAAGAAAAAGAAAAATAAACATATAAGTGATGAAGAGATAGCTCAACATGAAATAGAAGTTAATAAATGGAAAAAGAATAGTAATCATTGCATAAATTAATTACTAAATTACATTTTTGATGAGCTTTATGACTACTATAACTAAGGATATTCTTACGTTAAGAAGATTTAGAAGGCGATAGATAAAAAATATGACATTGAAGAAGCTAAATCCAAAAAAATTCTTGTAGTTATTGTTTTAGGTTTCAAATGAACGGAGAAAAGCTTGTGATGGATCAAGTTTACGAACTTCGAATGATTGCACTTGATATCCACTCGAAGGCATACATGTAGATGAGCAAATGCAAGTTTCAGCCATTATTGACAAGCTACCAGAATCCTAGAATGATTTGTTAAAGGCTTAAAGCATAAACAAAAGGACATGGAAGCTCTTATTACTCATTTGAGGGTTGAAGAGGAAGCAAGAAATCGAGACAAAGCTATTGAACTTAACAATTCAAATTGTACTAAGGTAAACTTCATTACCTCTAATAAAAACTCCTATCACATGCCAAAAGTCGGAGGACGACTTAATGGTCAATATAAGCCAAAGAAAAAGTTTTTCAAGAAAAGCTTTTTGAAAACCGATATCACTCCAACTAACTAAGAAATTATGGATTAATCCTAAACCACCACCAAATAATGGTAACCAAAATAATGCTAAAAATGATTATGCTTGTTTTATTTGTGGTAAACTTGAGTATGTTACTAACAATTGCCATCTTAAAAAATGTGAGCTTGTTGCTCGAGCTAATGTTACCGAAGAGCCACTTAGGGTTATGATTTTTGACATTAATATTCTCGAAGGCTCGGATGAGTCATGGATTAATTCAAGAGCTATAAAACATGTCTCTTTTGATAAAAACTTATTCAAAACTTATACATTCTTAGATGAGAAAAAAATCATGATTAGTGATTCTCACACTACCGATGTAGTAGGGGTTGGAGATGTACTTATCAAATTTACATTTGGAAGAGAGGTTACTCTTAATGATATGCTCTATGCACCTAAAATTCATAAGAATTTGGTTTCGGGTTTTCTCTTGAATAAGATTGGCTTTAAGTATGTTATTGAGCTCGACCAATATGTATTTTTCAAAAAAGGCCTATTTGTTTGAAAAGGCTATGCTTGTGATGGGATTTAAACTTAATATTGAAATAAATAATGAAAGATTCACTTTTATTTATATTGTTTCTTATGTGAATGTTTGGCATGGTAGATTATGTCATATAAATTACAAATATAGGAAAACTTGAGTAATCTTGGTTTAATCCTTAAAATTGAAAATGAGTTTGAAAAATGTGAATCTTGTAGCATGGATAAAATTTCAAGACAACCTTTTGAAAGTGTTGATCATAATTCTAAATTATTAGAACTAATACATACACATATATATGAGTTTAATGGTATTCTAACTCGTAATGGTATTCGTTATTTTGTAACTTTTATTGATGATTTCTCAAAATATTCATATGTTTTTTAATGAAGAATAAAAATGAAGCTTCTAAAAAAATTACTAATTTTTTAAAAGAAGTTGAAAATTGATTGGTAAAAGGATCAAAAGACCATAAAGTGATAGAGGTATGGAATATGACTCTATTAGTTTCAATAATTTTATAGAAGCTAATTGTATCGTGCATGAAGTTATAACTCCATATTCACCTTCTTTAAATGATGTAGCCAAAAGAAAGAATAGAACTCTAATTGATGTGATAAATTATATGCTTATTAGTTTTAATACTTCAAAGAATTTATGGGATGAAGTCTGTTTTATTTGTAAATTTGTTTTGAATAGAATTCCTTATAAAACCACATTTTTGACTCCTCATGAATTACGGAAAGTTTATAAGCCAAAATTAGATTTTTTTAAGAGTGTGGAGTTATTTAACTTTTGTTAGACTACTTGATCTTAAAACACCAAAACTTGGTAAAAAAAGAAAAAGAAAAAAGCTTCTACTTATACTTTTTTAGGTTACACTTTGAATGATAAAGCTTATAGATTTTTTGATTAAACTATTATTGAATATTTGGATGTTATTTTTCATGCAAACAAATTTCCTTTTAAAACGAGAAAATAGTAGGGGTATGATTATTCAACCAAGTATTGAACCTTCTTCTTCAAGATTTGAAAATAAAAATGATTTTGAACCAAAAAAAGTAAAAGAGTTAGATTTGAAAAAAGATTTTGGTTCGATTACTATTTATATAATGTACCAACATGATCTTATTTTTTTAGAACAAGCCTTATCTTCTCACGATGTATATTTTTAAAGAGAAATTATTACCGATGAAATGGATTCTCTAATTTCAAACGATGCTTAGAAAATAGTTGAATTACCTCCTGATTGTAAGATGATTGGATGTAAGTGGGTACTTAAAAAGAAATTAAATTCGATAGGTCTATAGACAAGTTCAAAGCTAGACTAGTAGCCAAAGGTTTTAAATAAAAAGAAGTATTGATTTCTTTGATACTTTTTCTCCGAGTAACTAAGGTAACATCTATTAGAGTGTTTATTGTTGTTACTACTATTCATAATTTGTTTATAAATCGGATAGATGTAAAGACAACTTTTCTAAATGGAGATTTAGAAGACTAAATATATATGGATCAACTTTGAAGGTTTATAGCACAAGGTGATAAAAATAAGGAATGTAAGTTATAAAAGTCTTTATATGGTTTGAAACAAGGACCTAAATAATGACATGAAAAAGTTGATGCTTATTTACTTAATAATGGTTTTAAAGCAAATAAAAGTGACAAGTGCATATGTTATAAATTAATTTGAGAATGTTCATGTGATTATATGCTTATATGTAGATGATCTTTTAATTTTTAGTTCAAACATGAACATTATTAATAATACTAAATTATTGATTCAAAATAATTTTGATATGAAGGATTTAGGCAAAGCAAACATGATTTTTGGCATGAGAGTCTCTAAAGTTTTAAGTGGAATATTTATTGATCAATCTCATTATACTTGAAAAGCTTTAAAAAATATGATTTTTTTAGATAGCAAACTCGTGGGAACTCCTTTTGATACTACTATGTATCTATTATCAACAAAAAATGATAACAAGATTTGCTATTAAAAAGATTATGCTAATATTATTGGAAGTCTTAGGTATGCTACGGACTATACAAAACTTGATATTGTTTTTAATATTGAAGTCCTAGTAAGATTTACTAGCAAACCACTATGCTCAATATTGGAATGCAATAACTTGTCTAATGAGATACTTGAAAGGTGTAATAGATTATGGTTTGTTATATCAAAATTGTCTCGTTGTACTTAAAAGGTACAATGATGCTGATTGGAATACCTTATCTAGTGATTCATTGTCTACCATTAGCTATGTTTTTACTTTAAGTGAAGGAGCAATATGTTGAAAATGTTGGTGTAGGTGCTCGAGATCCAACCATTTTGGATGAGTTTGACTTATTATATTATTGCATTGATTGTAATAAAAGAAGATTTTCTATTAATTCTTGTCATTTGCATTTATTCATTGTATAGAATTAGATAGAAGTCCATACGATATGCATTTGCATTTGATCGAAAGATGTAAGACAAACATTAATGTACATAAATGATATTATTAAATATCTCAAACGTAGCATGGTGAAGAATGGACATTGACTACATATGGTTAGACTTGTGAGTGTTATGCTCATGCCATATGATAGCAGTAGGAGATCTCACACCTATTGACATAATGATGTCAAAAGCAAGCACCTAGGTGATTTATATTAGAGAACATATCACTAGACTTGACTTGCCATGAGTCTTATTCGGTTTAGTACGTGGAAATCTCATACGAGATGGCTACGATTGATCCTTAGACATGAAATCATCACTGTTATCTCATTAGAGGATTTATGCACTTTGACACTCGTTTCGATGGACCTAGTAAAG